CAATAAAAAGAAAAGAAAAGTCCAATCTATATTTTAAAGCTTTGTTGCAATTAATTTCTAGTCTCAAAATCTTCAAGGCATCTCCTCCAACAAGATCATAATATTTTTTTTGTCCTCTCCCTTCCCACTTATAACAAGGAGCCAAATTTTTACCTTCTACAAAAAGACAGATTTCTCAATATCCATTTGTTGATTCCATAGGGAAGGAGAGTAAACTTTCCCTTTCAGCACCTCGAATTTGCTGCTTGAAATTCTCATCTGGAAACAAAGTATCATTCAAAAAGTCATAGTTTTCAGGATGTTAGGTGTATCTTAAAGTCCTGGGTCAGCCAAGAAAAAACTTTCTCTTCAGAACTTTCTCCCTCTTCCTCCTGCACAGTCTTACCCAGCTGCCGGCTTCTTTGTGGCGGCCATTACAGACCGCCGCTCCACCGCCTTGAGAAAAGGGGGTTTTGCCGGCTGGGGAGGGGGTCTGCAACACCCCCAAACCCCTCTCCGGATCCCCCTGTCTTCGGCTGCCTCTGTGGGGCAGCCTTAGCCTCCAGACCCGTCGGGATCGGAGGCACCAAGACGGCTAGCGCCGCAGGGATCGCGCAGTATCGCGAATCCCTGCCGCTGCCGAAGCCGACAAACCGGAAGTCCCCAAATATTTCTTATATGAAAATAATTTAATAGATACTACATTAATTAATATGTGAATAACAATATCAACCCCTTGGATAATCCTATTGACCCCTAGGGATTAATATTAACTACTTTTTAAAAATCTTTGTTTATGGTTTTAAATAAATTTCAGAAATGTTTCATGTCTAATAGTAAAATGTCCCCTACAAATGGTCTTCTTCATATTCAGTCTATTTGGAAGAGGAACTTAAAATAGATTCTTGTTTCCTTTGCCAAAAATTGAGTAATCACCAACATGTTTTTATGAACTATATTTTTAGAGAAGGTACTTCAGGTGGCAAATATATTTAAATCTTATCTCCTCTAAAAATTGCTTAGCTTATAGAGAATTGTCTGATCAAATTTTGATGCCAGACATGTCCACATAGGAAGTAATTAATTATGTAGCTCTAGATGGCCACAAGAATATGCACATTCATCAATTCCAATTGGTGCCACAATTTCTGGACCATAAAATTAGTTGATAGTTTGGACACACACACATACCAAACTCAAACAAAAGAGGCCTCCCCTCCCTTCCTGCCCCTCTCTGGACCCTCTGGAAGTTGAGCCACAGGGCCCTACTGTTGCCAGGTCACAGAAGCCTCGGAAAATTGACTGAGAATACTCACATGATTTGTGGATGCTTCAGAGGCTAAAAGCAAGATACAAAAGCAAAGTCTTCTCATGCGAGTTCCAGAAGGTATGGAGACCTTGTGTGTCACCAAAAATGGCATGTTGTGTCATCTGTTGCATATTTGTCATATGTTCATCATCACTAATCTAAAATATGTTCCATTTCATTTCAAATTCCTGTTCCTCTTTATCACTGAGATGGAGAGTGGTGGTACATAAATGAACAAGGGAGGAATTTTAATGCCAAGAGGGAATGGAGAAAACTGGTTGCATTTTAAGGGTGGGTTGAAGCTGAAGAAAAAAAACTAAGGGCTGTTATTTATAGTTACAGAACTTAGCATACAGCTTTCTAGACAGTTTTTTGAAGGGAGAAATCTGATAAAAAAGCCAAATAAGGTTGCCAACAGAAATGGAGAGATTTTCAGAGGGGTTGGTTAGTGTCGCAGTGGCTATGACGGGACTCCATGAGCTCCATGGAAATTGTCAAAATCCTCCTGCCGGAGGGGTCTCTGGAGACCCTAGCCAACCTTGCAGGGGTTGGTGAAGAAGAGAGGATACTCAAAACACCACAGGAAGCATATCCCTGTAGGAACAGAGAAAAACCTCTCAGACCGGCGAGGAGTGACAGGCAGACATTTCAAGCTGTCAGAAGCTGCGGTAGTCAGATCGGGAAGTTAAAAGGAGAAGATTGCAGAGTAGTGTGCTTATCCTAGGTGATATTTTGTTGACCTCTACTTCAAAGAAAAGAAAAGAATTAGTTCTCCCTTAAATTGGATTAAGTGAAAGTGAAATTAAAGTGAGATTAAAGAAGGGGATGGGACTTAAACCTTCCACCTCCAGAGCTGGTGGTGAAAAGGCATTTAGCCATTAAGAAGGGAAAATACTTAGTGTTATATAGTACAACAGCTGCCAGAATAGCCTTTGCGCAGGCATGGAAAACACCAAATACCCCCAATGAAGAACTAATAATACACAAAGTAACAGAAAGTGCTGAGATGAATATGCTAACAATGAAATTGAAAGAAAAAGATGACTCTGAATTCTTTACAATTTGGAACAATTGGTATAAATGGCTAACAAACAAAACCAAGAAGTGAGACAAAAATGTTAATTGAATCAACCTTTAAGAAAGTAAAATAAAATTTTGTAAACTATATAAAGATATAAGAATAGTAATTATAGCTAAAGATATTATTTAATAGTAGATAAATGCAATATAATGTATTATGATATTTAAACCAAAATCCTGTATAGATGCCAAGAACATTGTTGATACCATGATGCTTTACGATGTAAAAAAAAAAAGAAAATTAATAAAAATATATTTAAAAAAAAAGAATGGAAAAAGTCAGAAGAATTTACCATTTTGCCAGAAGAGTGATAGAGAGAGGAGGCTGAGATACTAGTGAGGTTGAGTCTCTGTTGTCCTCACTATATCAAATTTTGGGACTTTTGGCTGTGAAAAGGAAAAGTTTCTAAGTTTTAAAAACGAGGGATTGGATTAAAGGGAGGAAAAAGAACAAGTGTTCCATCTACTAGTTCGTGCTAGCAGAGAAAGTGTTTAAAGTGAAAAGACTTGTGAATGGACATGGCCTTGAGATGTGAATTACAGTGAGAGGAACATAAAGATTCTTTTGACATCTATAACATTTTTAGTCTGGGAGGCTGGAACAGAGAGTGAAAGAACTATTAATGCGCAAATTTAACAGCTTTCTGGCTCTAGCAGATAATAAACAGGGACCATTTTGAATAGAATACTTTGGAACACTTGAATTGCTATCAACCTTTTTTCCCTTTTCCTTTTTTCTTCTGGACTTTTTTTCCTCCTATTTTTATCTTATTTCCCCCCCCTTTTTTTTTTGTCTTCCCTGCTACCTTTTGAGATTTATAAGCCTAGAGACTGGGAATATGCAAAGATTTGCCAAATTGGGCTGGAATATAACTAACCTTGGTGGAACATGATTAACTTTGTGATATTATAATTGAAGAAGGAGAAGAAAAGAGGAACTTCTATAAGAACTTTTGGAATACTTTGGGAAAACTGTTGGGGACATTTGTGGGCCTAAGTGGATTACAAATAAATAAAGCTGGATAGCCTACCCACCTAAGAGGAAAGAAAAAGAAATAAAGCAATCTGCAAGAGAAAGCCCGATTTTCCCTATAAAATTTTGTGAGAGACATATTGTGGATCTGGTGAACCTCAAGAGACTAATTATCATTCTCATTCTATTGCTATATAATATTGTTTTAAAAAAGGAAAGTGGAAGAGTAAACATTTATACTTAAAGAGTATGACATACATTTTAGATGGCTTATCCTGAAGGTTTACTGGTGACCTGGCATGAAGAAAGAGGGGTAGACCTCTACATCAAAGAATCTATAGATTCAAAACAAATTTATAAAGATGAAGAGGGAAGAACTTTGATAGTGGAAGTAATTATAAACAGATATTATTAATAGTAATATATGCACCAAATACTAATCAAGAAGTGTTTTATGATCATCTACACAAGAAAATTGCAGAAATAGAACATGATAATATTTGTATTGTGGGAGACTTCAACACGATTGTTGATGTAAAATTAGACTATAAAAGTAGCAAAACAAATCAAAAGGCAAGGAGGACATTACTAAAGACTTTTTTTTTTAAATGACGGAGGAATTAAAGATGCCTGGAGGGAAATACAACCAGAGAAAAAACAATATACTTTCTACTCAAATATGCATAAATCATGGTCAAGAATTGACATGATATAGCAAACTTAAAAGATGCATGGAGAGAGAGAAATGTGGAAAATAAGCAATATACTTTTTACTCAAACAGACATGCATCTTGGTCTAGAATAGATATGATATGGATGTCAGCAGAATTACTTGCTAATATATGAGAAATTGAAATAGAAACAAGCACTTGGGCAGACCACAACCCAATGACAGTCATTTGGAAAGGACAAAAGAGGAGATCTAGATGGACTTTAAATAATATGATATTAAAGGAAAAAGACTTCAAACAGAAAATAGAGAAAGAATTGGTTTTCTTTTTTAAAGAAAATAAAAAAGAGGATACATCTTTACAGAATCTCTGGGATACGATGAAGGCCTTCACAAAAGGCTTGATAATACACTATACAAGGAAAAGAAACATAAAACAGAAAAATACTTTCAAAATATTGGAAGATGATGATAAGAGATTGGAAAAAGAACTACAGAAGTTCCTGCAAAAAAAGATATTAAAATTAAAATGGACATAACTAAACATAAAATGGACTAATGGAAAAAGAGGAATTAGCACAAACAATTAAAAATGCTAAACAGAATTACTTTGAAGACACAAACAAACCTGGCAGATGGTTAGCCTATACATTGAGAAAGGAAAGAGAATCAAGAAGGATTAGCCAATTAATAAAGGAAGGATATGTTTGCTATGGAAATGAGGAGAAGAAAAAATATACAAGATTACTATTGAAAATTGTATTATCAAGAGAATATTCAAGAAGAAAAAGTGAAGCAATATTTACAGAAAGCGAAATTACCCCAGATACCTAAATACATTGAAATAATGTTAGAAGGGAACATAACGATGATGGAATTAACAGAAGCCTTAAAAAAACAGAATGTTGGAAAAGCACCAGGTCCAGATGGATTGCCAGTGGAATTTTATAAGACTTTACAGGAAATATTGAATCTCCAACTATTAGAAGTCATGAATGAAGTTATGTCAAAGAAGAGAATACCCAAAACATGGCCAGAAGCATATGTTGCACTTATACCGAAGGAAGACATAGACCCGCAGCAAGTTAAGAATTACAAACCTATATCCCTATTAAACTCAGACTATAAAATTTTTGCTTCAATTTTGGCAGAAAGACTGAAAAGATACTTAAATAATTTTATTCATGCTGATCAAAATGGATTTCTGCCAAAGAGACAAATCAAAGACAATATGAGAATAATTCTGGATACTTTGGAATATTATGAGGTACATCCTGAAAAGCAAATGGCCTTGATTTTTTTTAGATGCACAAAAAGCATTTGACAATGTGAGCTGGTAATTCATGTTATTGCAATTGGTACAAAATTTTATTCAAGCCATTGAAACGATATATCATAAACATACTGCAAATGTTATAATAAATGGAGAATTAACAGAATCTATAGATATAAGAAAAGGGACTAGACAAGGTTGTCCACTGTCATCTTTGCTGTTTGTGTTAACATTGGAAGTGTTGAATAGGAATATTAGAGAATAAAAAGAAATAAAATGAATGAAAATCAAAAAGGAAGAGTATAAATTGCAAGCCTTTGCAGATGACCTGGTATTTATATTAGAGGATCCATTGGAAACAGCACCTAAATTAATAGAAAAGATAGAAGAATATGGAAAATAAATAAAGATAAAACAAAGATATTAACAAAGAACATGCTAGCAAGACAAAAGAAAGAGTTGGAAGAAATTTTAGAAATACAGGTTACAAATAAGGTTAAGTACTTAGGGATACATATTACACCAAGATGTAGCACATTAAAGGAGGATAACTATTTTAAACTCAAACAGCAGATTGCGAGAGATTTGACAAAATGGGAAAACTTACAATTATCATTGATTGGGAGAATACGTACAATTAAGATGAATGTATTGCCTAGAATTTTATATCTATTCCAGACAATTCCAATTCTATTAGGGAAAGAGTTTTTCGAAGACTTAAATAAAATTGAATGAGACCGAACAATGCAGAAGAGCTGAAGGCTGCTATTGAAGCATCCTGGTCTTCCATAACACCTCAGCAGTGCCACAGGCTGATAGCTTCCATGCCATTGAGGCAGTAATTGCTGCAAAAGGGGCCCAAACCAAGTACTGAATGCATATGCATGCTTATACTTTTCAGAGGTCTGATATTGTTCAATGTACAATCCTTGTTTTATTGATTGCATGTAATATTCTAATTTTCTGAGATTGTGGATTTGGGGTTTTCATGAGCTGTAAGCCATAATCATCACAATTATGACAAATCATGGCTTGAACTATCTTGCTTTGCATGTAATGAGTCTATGTCATATATTAGTTTCACCTTTTAAATTGCATTACTGAAATAAATGAACTTTTGCACGATATTCTAATTTTTCGAGTTTCACCTGTACATAATCAGCAGTTTAGCCACAGAAAAATAATTTTAATGAGACATATGAAAATAATTTTGCAGAGACATATGAAAACAGCATCAGAAATGACACCAAAATAACAACATGTATGTAAAGACCTAACACACTGCAATGCTTTTGCTTTGGTATGTAAGACACAAATTTTCCATGAGCCACCATTTGCGCTTCCCCCCTCTAGACAGACAGACAGACAGACATTGCTCTCCCTACAAACTCTCTCTCTCTCTCTCTCTCTCTCCCCCCCCCCCCCCCCCCCCCCTCTCTCTCTCCCTCTCTCAGCTGTACTTCAGTAATTCAGAGAAGCAACTCATTTTATATATTTAGAACTTACTATTTAAAATAGATGGTGAAGTTTGAAACTAATATCTGGATGCACAAAATAAGTTCACAGATTTAGTTAACTTTGGATCAAGGACTACCAGTATTTTGCTACTAATTTACATATTCCATGGACAGCTTTAGTGAGGCAGGCAAATGTAATATATCCAGGGGAATGTTTCTATTAAGCCTCAGTGAAAGCAAATTTTGTGAAAGGAAGGGCCTTTCATGCTTGACTTCAGATGAGAACCTCAGCTTGTATTACTGAATGTGACTCTGGAGATTTCCAAAGTTCCGTCCTTGTCTTTTTTCCAGTGGATGACTTAGGCATGTTTATACTGGGGCCCTGCACAACTTTTATGAAACACTATATATAGTCCAATTGTAGATAGAACCAATTGTATCTAAATAAATGATTACATCAGTATAATGATACATCCAGTAGATTTAGATCAGCTTTCACTATTGCCTTAAGCCATTTTTATTGGGAAGGTGACTAATAAGTGTTAAAGAAATAAATACAAGTAAGTATTGTAACATATTTAATTTTCTACCAGTTAAGAATGAGAAGAAAACAAATCTCAGACCATCAATTACATATATTTGACCATATGCTGAAGAAAGGAGCAATACTCCTTTTTATGTAACCATGCTACTACATAATGGTCATTTCCTCACTGGTATAGAATTTGTTCAAAATATGAATTGTTTCATGCTGTGCTTTGTTACTCATTTTGAAATAATATCTATTCACATTTTTCATTCCTAACTTAGTACAGTATTGATTTCTATACATGTTAATTTGATAAAATGAAAAACATTAGCATAAAAGCAAACATTCATATGCTTGAATTTCTTTTCTTCTATATGTCATTTTTGTACACTTTTCTCTAAAAATTAAAGATTGTCTTTTTTCACTTGTCCCTTTAACTCTTCTATACCAATTTCCATATCACATGCCAACTCCTATTCTTCAGTGAGAAGAGAAACAGCACATTAAACTATGCCCAAGAACATAAAATATTCAGTAAGCTTTGCATTTGTTTATATAAGCAGCAGAGCCCACCTCCTCACTTATTCTGTAATTAATTTGTATACTTCCGACTGCTTTGAACAAGGTTATTCTGAATCAAAAGTTGGAGACAGTTGCTCCTGATACACAACTTGGGCAGTACAGCAATCTCGAGAATAGTCATTATAATTTTTAAAAAATCAATCTATCAACCTGTCCTGATGAGAAGAAAACAAATCTCCAATTCACATTCAAATATTCTTCCTTTAGCTTTGTCAGTAAAAAAATCAGTCTACTTTCTCTTATCAAGGAAAAACTTCCCTCAGTTAAATCAGTTTCTGTTTAAATATCTATTCATATTTACATTGTATTACAAATTTTTATCATTGAAGTTAACATAGATATTATTTTGCTCTTATATTAGTGCTATGTCAAAACTTTATATAGGCTAATGTGCCAGTAGCCCTGGTAAAGTCAGAATGATTCATTACTATTTTCTTCTGTTCTGAAAGGTTACCCTAACTGAAGCTTCTGATTGTTCTTCAAGGCACTGTTATGTAGCATATATTGTTATAGTCTAATCTGGAGGTTACAAGGGCATGAGTGACCTTGAGCAGGATCCTATGGTCCAGAAATGGGTGCAATTGATGCACAATCTGAAGTTATGCAAAGGCCCTGCTCGTCACAGCTGTCATCTTTTCTGAAGCAGGAGCTGAAAGTCTGGGAGGACCCCCAGATTGTACATATGGACCTGCCTGGAGCACTGCTATTCCATTGAGAATCAAAGATGGAACTTTGAGGTCCAAAAACCAAAGTCACTCTGATTTGCTTGGGTTTACCTGAAGCTTATTGTACTCCATCCAGGCACCCATAGACTCCAGGTACAGAAGCAGAACTGGAACCCCAGATGACCCTACTCAGTGGCTTCATGTACATATTAAACAATCACAGATATTTTCCTAGGAGGCCCTAATTAGCTAGAAGGGGAATGGATCTAATACAGTGGTGGCTGAACTAACAGGTGATCCTGTCTACTTCTTTTGGCTCCAAAGGATTCAACTTTTTCTAGATGACTTGACTTCAATTGCCTCCACAGAATCTGCCAAACTTGACTCCAGTTGCCTCCATAAATCTGTATCAATGCCAGAGTCCAATTTAGAGCATATCCAGTCAACTTTATTTTCCAATTACTTAGCATATTCTTCATAGCGACCCTGTAGGTCACAGGTTTCAAACTCAAGGCCACGTGGATCTGGCTCACAGGGTGCTTAGATCTGGCCCATGGGGCTGCCCTGGAAACAGCGAAGGACTGGCCCACAGTGCCTCTGCCAGCAAAAACAGAGCTTGGGAGGGTGGCTGTGACAGCCTCCTTCAGTGTCAGCAAAAATGGCTCAGTTGCAACCGAAAATGGAGCCCAGGAAGGCCATGCACAGACCCCGAGCTCCACTGGTAGAGGGCTACAGAAAGCCATCGTGGCCAAAAATGGAGTGCAGGAGGGGGCTGCACATGCTCCCCCCAGCTCCGTTTTCACTGGTAGAGGGCTACAGGAGGCCGTTGTGGCCAAAAATGGAGTGCAGGAGAAGGCTGCACATGCTCCCCCCAGCTCCATTTTTGCTGGCATAGTGCTAGCAAAACAGACTACTAGCAAAAGTGGCATTTGATCACAAGACAAGGAGGCATTGACAGATGTTTCCCCTTTTGCATTTGGGCATCCAAACAGGGACAGGAAAGGAGGAAGGGAAAAAGGAAAGAAAAAGATGGGAAGATGGGAAGAGAGCAAGAAAAGAAAAAGAAAAAAGGGGGGAAAGAGAGGAGGGAGGAGGGAGGGAGGGAAGAAGGAAATTATAATGAGTGGGAGGGATGGTCTAAGTAAAGGCCTGCCTTAGCATTTGGCCACTAGCAGCCCTACTGCCCTGTCACCATCCCCTTGTCTCCTCCTCCTGACATCTACTGGTGGTCTCCCATCTTAGAGCTGAGGAGGCTTTGGTTACAAAGCTGGGTCTCCTTGCGTGGAGAGGAAATGGGCTCCCTCTGACCCACACACTTTGCCCTCCCACATACACCATGAGCAACCTGGCCAAGGAGAGCAAGAATAGAGCAGTAGCCTCGAGGAGGAAATAAGTGCAGGAGATAAGTGGGGTCCTGATGCTCTGGAGCTTGATGATCGGATTGGGCAATTGCCCTCCACTGCCTAAGGCTCTGGACAGCCTGCGCCACCATCTGGGGTCCTCTGTGTGACCTGAGAGGGATAGCAAGGCTCCTTTGGAGGACAAGGATTTGGTGGTCTCCCTGGTTTCGCCTTCCTCTACTAGAGACAATGGTCCTGCCCAGGCCATCACAGGTGCCCCCAACATGAGTGACATTGAGCTGGCCACGCCCACCCCAGCCCCCTGAGGTCAAACACAACCCTGATACTGCCCTCAATGAAATTGAGTTTGATACTCCTGCTGTCAAACCACAGAATCATTCCCACTAAGAAGTTATCAGGTCACCTGAAACAGGGCCACTAGACAATTAACTGTAGGTACAATAAGTTCAGAGGAATAAAGTTTCATCATCTTTACTATGACACAGTAGGCCAAGGGGTGTCAAATTCAAGGCCCACAGGGCTGGCCTAAAAATATGAAAGGGCCAGCCTGCACCCCCCATGGAGGGTGAAAATGAGGCACAGGGCGCAGACCCCCGTGCCCCATTTTGGCTGGCAGGGTGCTGCAGGGTGCTCCATCCTGGCCCCCCAGTCCCCCTCTACTGGCCTGCAAAGGAGAACTACAATGCTGATCTGGCCCTCAAAGAAACCCAGTTTGACACCCCTTCAGTAGGCCTAAGAGTGACTGCTGCTTGTGTTTGATCAGGTTTGCTCCTTATTGCCCTTAACTGTCACTGTCAAACTATTCTACAGTAATGCTATATTTTTCAATGTTTATTTCAGTTTTAGATTTCTTTACAGATGTCGTTGTAATACTGGTTCATGTTTTCTTTTAATAGCTCTTTGATATTTTCAAGTTCCTTCCTAAGAATAACAGAATAACAGAGTTGGAAGAGACCTTGGAGGTCTTGTAGTCCTGCTCAAGCAGGAGACTATACCATTCTAGACAAATAGCTGTCCAGTCTTTTCTTATAAACCTCCAGCGATGGAGCACTCATAACTTCTGAAGGCAAGCTGTTCCACTGGTTAATTTTCCCTTAATCCCTTAATTCTAGGTTGCTTCTCTCCTTGATTAGATACCAGTAATGGTAATTAATTACCATTGTTTCGTCTTGCCTTCTGGTGCTTTGAAAAGTAAGCTGATCCCCTTTTCTTTGTGGCAGCTCAAATATTAGAATACTGCTATCATGTTACCTCTAGTCCTTCTTTTCATGAGACTAGACATGCCCTGTTCTTCATGTTTCAGCCTCTATCAACATAAAGAAAGGTTTCTTGGCCTTGGACTCTTTTCGCTTCTTGGCAATGTTCTCAATTTGTTTTAGTTTAGTTTAGTGTAGTTTATTGTCATTGCACCTTGTACAATGAAATCAAACACCAACTTCAGTGCACATCATGACTATGAAAATAAACACAAACACACATCCTTCACATTCTATACATTGAATTGAAAATCCCTGATATTGCATTAATATTGCACTATATATTAGAATTCAATAGAATTACTGCCCTGGGAGAGAAGCTGTTTTTCAGCCTATTTGTCCTTGTTTTTATTATCCTGTACTGTCTGCCAGATGATAATAGTTCAAAAAATGGGTGCCCAGGATGAGATGGATCTTTGAGAATGTTTTGAACTTTCTTAAGGCAGCAGGAGCTATAAAGCTCTTCCAAAGAAGGGAGAGGGCAACCAATGATCTTCTGTGCAATGACATTAACCCTCTGGTGTGCTGTCCTATCTGCCACTGTGCAATTGGCAAACATACAGAGGTGCAGTAAGTTAAGATACTCTCTATGGCAGAGGTCCCCAACCAATGGTCCACAGACCACTGGTGATCTGTGAGAAAATTTTGGTGGTCCACGGCACACCCGGGTGGAGGAGCCACTCCGGGATGACCAGTCCTGTGACTAGAGCTCTGGATTGTGAGACCAGCCAGGCAGCTCGTGGTAGGGCTGGAAATCTCCACCGTAGAAGAAAGAACATGCAACCTGCAACTTTGCAGGAGGTGCAAGGTGCAAGGAGCAGCACAGCCCTTGCTGGCCAGAATGAGGTAATTGGTGCTGTTGCAGCAAGAGGGGGTGGAGGTGGTGGCATAGGCGGGCCGAAGCAATGCATGTTGGCAATCTTTAGGGGGAAGCTCTTTCTTCAGCTGAACCCACCACTGCTGGCCCTGTCCCTCACCCATCCCTCCCACTCAGTCCTCACCTGGCCTGAGAAGGGAAAGGCAGTGGGTGAAGATTTGCTCCATACTCCCACCATTCCAGAGCAGGAGTGAATCTGGGTATCATGGGCATTTGTTCCGGGCCTTTTTGGTGCTGCATGACTGGGAGATGTGCGACCTCCTCTCCACCCCAAAACACTGGCTGGCTAGCTGAGAGATATAAGAGAGGGAGGGGGAAAAGATGAGAGAAAGAAATGAGAGAGATACTGAGATGAGAGGGAGAGAGAGGGAGAGAGAGAGATGAGAGAGAAAGAGATACAGAGAGAGATGAGAGAGAAAGAGATACTGAGAGATGAGAAAGATACAGAGCGATGAGAGAGATAGAGAGAGAGGAGAGAAAGAAAAAGATGAAAGAGATACTGAGAGGGATGAGAGAGATACAGAGAAATAGGAAAGAGAGAAAGAGATGAGAGAAAGAGATACTGAGAGAAAGAGGTGAGAGAGATGAGAGAGAAAAGAGATGAGAGAAAGAGATACTGAGAGATGAGAGAGAGAGATGAGAGATACAGAGAGAGATGAGAGATACAGAGATAGGAAAGAGAATAGATGAGAGAGAGATACTGAGAGATAGACACTGAGAGATATGAGAGATATGAGATACTGAGAGAGAGAGAGAGAGATAATAGAGAGAGATGAGACAAAGATATACTGAGAGAAATGAGAGAGATACAGAGATACAGAGAGATATGAGAAAGAGAGATGAGAGATACACATGGATGTCTGATCTGCTCCTTCTATAGTCCACTATAAGCTCCTTGGTCTTATTGGTGTTGAGGACCAAGTTATTGTCTCCACACCACAAAAGTAACCAGTCCACCTCATCTTGGTAGGCAGACTCACTTCCCCCCAGAGATGAGTCCCACCACTATTGTATCATCTGCAAATTTAGTAATAGTATTACTAGCATGAGTGGGAATGCAGTCATGCACATAAAGAGTATAGAGTAAGGGACTCAACATGCACCCCTGTGGTCTACCAGTGTTAAGAATAAGGGCTGAAGAGGTATGATTTCCTAATCTGACCCTCTGTGAGTGGCCAGACAGGAAGTCCATAATCCAAAGGCAGATTGAGTAAGAAAGTACAAGGTCCAGAAGTTTAGACACTAGTCTATGTGGAAGAATTGTGTTAAATGCAAAACTAAAACCTCAAAAAGCATCCTCACATAGCTCCCCGCCACTGTTCTAGATGAGTCAGAGCAGTGTGAAGAGTGAGTGTCCTCTGTAGATCTATTTCTTCTGTATGCAAACTGATGTTTATCAAATGTATGCAGAAGACCAGAAAAGATGTGCTGGCAGACCAATTTCTCAAAGCACTTCATGATGATAGGAGTGAGTGTCACTGGTCTGTAATCATTGATGTTATTGATAGGGAACTTCTTTGGCAGTGGAACAATGGTGGAAGCCTTCAAACAAGATGGAATAGTGCAGCAGTCACCAACTGGTGGGCCGTGGCCCACTGGTGGACCGTGAGAAAATTTTGGTGGGCCGCAGAGAAATCTCACCCCCGGAGCACCCCCCCAAAGCAATTAATCCAGAAACACAAGGCTGCGCCGCCCACATGGCCCACGGGAACCCTCCCCGCCCACTCACTCCTTACCCGGCAAACTTGTCTGCTAAATTGCTATTTTTCCTTTTTCCAACCATCAGCTGTTCTGCTATGCCAGGAGATTTAGATTAGCTAGAAAGCAGGAAATGGTTGCATTTCTTGCTTTCTAGCTAGTCTTTAGATCTGCTTTTAAGCAGAGCCGAACCTTCCTTAGGACTGAAGTTTCTATTATTCAGTGCAGACTCATGGCAAGCAAATTTTATGTGACAAACTCAGGTAGCCGATGGCAGATTGATAGATAATTGAATGATCTGTGATTCTGTGAGCAACTCAATCTGCCTGCCTGCTTTGCCTGATTTTGGGTAAAAGTTGCTCTTTTTTATAAAAAATTCAATATTTATATAAATATTTATAATATTTACATACAAGCCATGCCCAGCTAGTCACATGACCACCAAGCCACACCCACAAATTAGGCCATGCCCACAGAACCGGTTAGTGGTCCCTGGGATTTAAAATTATGAGTTTGGTGGTCCCTGAGGTCCAAAAGGTTGGTGACCCCTGGAATAGTGGACTGGGATAAAGACTGATTGAAGATCCTGGTAAAGACTCCGGCCAACTGATCAGCACAGTGTTTAAGCACTCGGCAAGAAAGTAGGGGCAGGCAGGCACAACCACAGGTAATGTAGACAGTAAACACAATGTCAGACATAAAGATCTCAAGTGCCTATATACAAATGCACAAAGTCTGGGAAACAAACAGGGTGAACTCGAACTACAAATACATGAAGGTAGATATGATATAGTTGGAATAACAGAAACTTGGTGGGATGAAACCCATGACTGGAACATACTGGTAGAAGGATACAAACTATTTAAAAAAAAACCATAAAAGAGGAGGTGGAGATGCACTGTATGTAAAGGACCACTATATTGCTACAGAAATGCATGAAACCAAACATGAAAACCTCCTAGAATGCATATGGGTCAATATAAAAGAAAAAAAGAATGACATGGCCATAGGTGTATATTATAGACCACCCAACCAAGCAGAAAATATAGATGTCCTTTTTGCCAGCCAACTAACAAACATATGCAGGAAACACACAGGAGTAATGGGAGACTTCAATTATCCTGATATCAATTGGAAAACTAATTCTGCACCAAGTGAGAAATCAAATAAGTTCCTAACCAACCTAGCTGACAACTTTGTTGTCCAAAAGGTAGAGGGTGAAACTAGAGGGACAGCAATATTGGACTTAATTCTTACAAACAGAGAAGGAGTGATAGAGGGTGTTGAAACTGCAGGAACATTGGGTGAGAGTGACCATGTCATACTAGAATTCAACATAACACAAACACAAGCAACAGAACATAATGACATCAGAGTCTTGGATTTTAAAAGAGCTGATTTCAATAAACTCAGAGAGAACTTGGGAAAGATTCCATGGATGAAAATCCTAAAGGGGAAAACAACTCAAGAATCAGCCTGTGGCACTGCTGAGGTGTTATGGAAGACCAGGATGTTTCAATAGCGGCCTTCAGCTCTTCTGCATTCTTTGGTCTCATGTCTCTCATCTTTCTCTTGGCAATGCCCCATAGATTCTCTATGGGGTTCAGGTCAGGCGAGTTTGCTGGCCAATCAAGCACAGTAATGCCACAGTCATTGAACCAGGTTTTGGTGCTTTTGGCAGTGTGGGCAGGTGCCAAGTCCTGCTGGAAAATAAAGTCAGCATCCCCATAAAGCTCATCTGTGGAAGGAAGCATGAAGTGCTCCAAAATCTCCTGGTAGACAGCTGCGTTGAACCTGGACTTAATGAAGCACAGTGGACCAACATCAGCATATGGCATGGCTCCCCAAATCAACACAGACTGTGGAAACTGCACACTGGACTTCAAGCATCTTGCAGTGTGTGCCTCTCCATTCTTTCTCCAGACTCTGGGTCCTTGGTTTCCAAATGAGATGCAAAAGTTGCTCTTGTCAGAAAAGAGGACTTTGGACCACTGAGCAACAGACCAGTTCTGTTTTTCTTTAGCCCAGATAAGACGCTTCTGACGTTGTTTGTTGTTCAGGAGTGTCTTGACAAGAGGAATACAACATTTGAAGCCCGTGTCCAGGATCCGTCTGTGTGTGGTGGCTCTTGATGTACTGACTCCAACCTCAGTCCACTTCTTGTGAAAGTCCCCAACACTTTTGAATGGCCTTTTCCTGACAATCCTCTCCAGGCTGCGGTCATTCCTGTTGCTTGTGCACCTTTTCCTTCCACACTTTTCCCTTCCACATAACTTTCTATTAATGTGCTTTGATACAGCACTTTGGGAACATCCAACTTCTTTTTCAATTACTTTTTGAGGCTTTCCCTCCTTATGGAGGTTGTCAATGATGGTTTTCTGCACAACTGTCAGGTCAGCAGTCTTTCCCATGATTGTGATATCTACTGAACCAGACTGAGAGACCATTTAAAGGCTCAGGAACCCTTTGCAGGTGTTATGGCTTAATTAGCTGATTCGAGTGGGACACTTTGAGCCTAGAATATTGAACATTTTCACAATATTCTAATTTTCTGAGATTGTGGACTTGGGGTTTTCATGAGCTGTAAGCCATAATCATCTCAATTATGACAAATCATGGCTTGAACTATCTTGCTTTGCATGTAATGAGTCAATCTCATATATTAGGTTCACTTTTTAAGTTGCATTACTGAAATAAATGAACTTTTGCACAATATTCTAATTTTTCGTGTTTCACCTGTAATTCCTTTAAACTATTTTAAACTCCAGACTTATAATGGTCTGCCATCTATCCTTGATTTCTGATAGATTGTTTCAAAATGAATCCATTTATCTCTTAAATTGTGTGATTTCTTGTTTAGTTTTAGCAGTACATAATTTTACAGGGATGTATTTTATTTAGATAAAATGAAATAGAATAAAGAAAATAATGTTTGGTGGTGGGGAATGACACAATGAAGCTTCTAGCTGTTTGTGACATGAATCCTGATAAGCTGTTCCTAATATGGCCCATTTTTGATGTCACCCATTTCTCTGTGGAAGAGATGGGGACACACTGCTCCCTATAGATTCTTGTACCAAGAAAGAACACATTAGCACATGTCTTTTTAGACATAGTAGAATCTGGTAAAATGGATCTGATAATCTTTTTTTAAAATTTTTATTGGTTTTTAAAACAAACATAAACAAACAAAACATCAAGCCATCTTCCATATATATACATACAGTGTGTCGGTTGGCTTACAAATTGTTTTGTGCTTCCATTTCATAGTCTTCAATTACAATTACATTGTATATATTCTCGTATTTTCAATCAAATATTAAATACATTAATATCATTATTAATCAATCATTTGACTATACTTTTATTCATTCATGTTTTACGAAATAATCATATTTTACTTAATTTGTTTTATGACGGTTCATATTATCCCAAATCTATCCTAGAATCATTTGGTAGATATAATAAGAAAAGAATACATCTTTATATATTTATTATTTTCTAAGAGTCTACATATTTCATTACTATATTTTATTGTCTAACCATTGATAGAATAGATCCCAAATTTTATAAAATTGTTTATCATCTTGTTCTCTAATTTCAAATGTCAATCTACTCATTTCAGCACATTCCAATATTTTTTTATTTTTTTTGAACAAATTTTATTAATTTTTAAAGACGTACAAAACATAAATACACAGAAAAACAAAACATAAAAGCATAAAAAATCTCTTTTCTGAAAGTTGCTTAGTCCCGGGTTAAAACTCTTGGTACAGACACAAATTCAAATTCATATTCATTTTACATACCATTCCATATCTTATTAGCATTTTCAATTTTCTATATAACTTCTCCTCTCTTTTAAATTTTCTCAATTTTATTTTGTTTATCTCCTCTCAATTCGAATCATAATATTTATTATTCTTTGTCTGTTCTATTTCCAGCTATCCATTTATCTTTCTTCTTTGAAAACTTCTCCTGTACACTAATTGGAGTATGATGCCTTTATCTCTTTCCCCTATATTTATAATACTTAATATAGAATACATAGCTTACATTGGGATTCTGTCTGGTACATTCTAAAATTATACAGTATTATCAAAACCAATACAAATCTATTCATTAATATTGATATTCATTTATATCTTAAACATTTAGCACATTACTTTTCAGTTAAATCACATACTTTTATGGGAGCACCTATTTTCCATAGTTATTCCCCCCCCCACATCACATATTATAGATCATTATTTCATTACGATGTTCCCCCTTCTCCTACTTCAAATCTCTCATTTCACGAAAAGTTTCACTAGGATAACATAGTCTAATCATTAATATTAACAATCATTTATATCTTAAACATTTTACCCATTTCAGTTAAATATGGGAACACTTATGCTTTCCAAAATTATTCCCCCCCCCCCACATCACATATCTTAAATCATTGTTTCATTGAAGTACTCCCCTTTTCTTAACAAAAATTTCACTAAATTATACTAAATATTTTATCACATTTTAAATTGCATATTATTTCCAATTTTCTATGGTTATTTCTAAGTACAAATGTAGAAATACAATCTTATGTACCTTTCTAGAATCCCTTTTTCAATAAGATTTATCCATTATCTCTAAAAAACTTTTGCTTCTTTGCATCTTGCTCCCCACCATTAAGGCTTCTCATCCCTTCCTTTCTCCCTTGCTTCTTTTTCTCCTTGTCCTCTTTACCCCCTTGTCTCTTTCTTTCTTTTCTTTCTCTTCCTTCTCTCTCTCATTTGTTTCCCTCTGTTCCCTTTCTCTCATTTTCTCCCTCCAGATCTCTCTCATTTCTGTGTCCCTCTCCCCCTTCTTTCTCTCTCTCATTTGTTTCTCTCTTTCCTCTTTCATTGTCCCTCGATCATTTTCTCATTTCTATTTCTCGCCTGAGCCAACACGAAGTTGCGGGCAGTGCATTTGCGACCGGCTGCTTTTTATGATTCCGCGTCCTTCATGGGCAGCTAAGTGCCAGCCACAGTCCCCTTTGTGTCACCTCAGGAAGGAGGAGCACTGCTGCCACCACTGAATGCAATGAGGGAAGAGCTCTGGCTCTCCTGTGCAGCGCAGCCAGCTACTCACATGAGCACGCAGTAGTGGCAGCAGGAGGTGGAGTCACCATTGCCACTGCCATGATCCCATCCCAGGAGGGTATCCTACTTGTGTGTGTGTGTGTGTGTGTGCACGTGCATGAAAGAGAGAGAGATGAAAGAAAGAAAAGGGGAGAAATCCCTTTTCTCTCTCTCATCTCTCCTTCCCCCTTGTGCAGTGGGAGGCGAGGGCTGCTTTGAGTGCAAATGTGGCACGAAGGCAAATACAGGGCTGCTTTGCTTCTGCAATAAGGCTCCAGCCATTGCCTTGCCATGTTCCCCCACACACAGGTCTTCAACTGAGCATGGTGGGTCCAAGTTCCAGCCCAAAGTGAAGGCTGTCTTCCGCCCAAACGTGGCACAAAGGCAGATATAGACTTCTCTCCTGCACTATGGCTCCAGTGACTGGCGCGGTGTGGGGTGGGGTGGAGTGGGGTGGGGCTAGCCAGGAGTGGGATTTGGGGGCTCACTGAGCCCTGCAAATCTTAGCTAGGGGATTGCTGGAGTTCCTGCGAGCCCCCAGCAGCCCACCCCTGGTTGCATGATAGCTCCAGAGGTTTCTGGATGAAATGTATTATCTAGACCCCTACCAGTCAGGATTCAGGCCTGGATATGGAACAGAAACAGCATTGGTCGCACTTTTGGATGATCTCTGGTGGGAGTGGGATGGGGATAGTGCATCCATCCCTGCTCTACTTCTTGGCAGCTTTTGATACCATTGAACATAGTATTCTTCTGGAATGGCTTCGGGGGATGGAAGTGGGAGGATGGAAGTAGCTCCATTCAAAATGCAAGAAAGAAAACTTTTGGCTCCATTGTTATAGAGAAAAGGACTTTTACTAAATATGAAGTGGTAGTGTCAGAAGAAATACAAGATCTGAGGTGAAAGGCCCAAAAAGTACATATGGAAAGTTATCCCATGTCCCCACTCCCAATAGTTCAAACTAGCCATCCAATCTGAGGTGTGTATAATGTCATGTGGGTGCATCTTCAGGTGGCATTTCACACATCTGGTATGCCAAGAGGTTGACCTTGGCCTAGAAAGATAAGAGGCTACATCTGCGCAGTAAGCAAGTAAGCACAATCAAGAAAGCATCCCAACTTTTACAATTCACCAACTTCATCCTCCAGCACCCTTCCCCCACATGAGGCCCAATTATTCCTCCTCCCATTTCTATGGCAGCCAGAAAGAGACAATCAGAAGAAGTAATCTTGGAGGCTGACACTGGATTTGGGGTCCTTTGGCCCAGGAAGAATTGCCACATTTGGTCTTGGATGGCGTGCCACTACCCCAAGCAGACCCTGTGCATAATCTGGGGGTTCTCCTGAACTTGCAACTACTGCTCAAAGGGCAAATGGCAGTTGTGGCCAGGAACACTAATACTCTTCCAGAAGGAGCTGAAGACCCGGTTCTGCCAGTGGGCCTGGGGAATGCAGAGCAAGATGGAACATATTAAATGGTTTGTATGCAGGGGTAGGATTCTACTGGTTCTCTCCACTTCTGTAGAACCAGTTGCTCTGAAAAGCAGCAAACAGAGAGCATACATAGAACCGGTTCTATGTCTGCTGCTGTTTTGGCCCACCCACCCACCCAGGCTCTTACTTGACCTTTATTTCCTGCTTTTTCAATCGCAGCTCCTTTGCGTGACACAGCTGCGGTTGAAAATGCAGGAAAAAAGTGCACACTCCCACTCAGCGCTGCTCAGCTGTCCAGGCAGCTAACTGACGACGATAAACACGAGCACGTAAAATTAATTAATTAAAATCAATCCATGGTGCAGGAGTCCCTTTTGCCTGATTTTGCATATCATACTGGAAATTTAGGAAAGTGTGAATAAATCATACATGCACTAATAAGACTGAAATTTCTTGCTTTATTTTGCTATATAGTATTGCATTTTTTTCAGTATTTTTAAAATTCAGAAAACATATCCACAATTTTAATCACTATTTACAATAGATGATCAATGGTTAACAAAACCTCATCCAATTGTACTTTAATGGAGCATGAAGAAAATTATGATAAAAGAAGTCTAGAAAGTGAAATATATATTTTATTTAATTAACATCTGATAATTATGTAGCCTTACTAGTGCCTGTAAGGATAAATCTGGGCTAACCTATTTTAATATTTAAAATATAGTACCACTGTTGCACGGTTCATTTCAAGCAATTTTTGAACTACAAAATGACTCTTAAAAGTTATTCAGTCCGATCTATGTATAGTATATAAAATCATACATTGCAATGTCCTACCTGTCAATGAATACTTCAGCTTCAACCATAACAATGCAAGAGCAAACAATAGATACAAACTCAAGGTTAATCGCACCAAACTTGATTGCAGGAAATACGACTTCAGCAACAGAGTGGTCAATGTCTGAAATACTCTACCTGACTCTGTGGTTTCTTCCCCAAACCCCAAAAACGTTAACCTTAGACTTTCTACTATTGCCCTCACCCCTTTCCTAAGAGGTCTGTAGGGGGCATGCATAAGCGCACCAATGTGCCTACCATCCCTGTCCTATTGTTTCTTTTATTTTTCTTATTTGTATCCATGTATTCATAACTATGTTTTTACTTATACCTATTATCTTGTAAGCGATTGACAAACCAAATAAAATAAATAAAAAATAAAAAGATTGGAGTTCAAATGTTCAGAAGTATAGCTTGCTGTAGTGGTATATCTGTGGAAAAAAAATCCTGAAAGTTTGTGGTGAAGTGGGAAGCTCAGTGCCAAACACAACATATAATTGAGTTTAATTTTTTCCATATGCATCAACAAAAAACCCCACCCTTCTATGAGAGATGAAAGCTTCTCTTTCGGTTATATTCTATTTTGTAAATAATTCCAAACTCTATAATTTTGTAGAATTTTTATCAAAACATGTCAGAATGTAGGAAAGATGAGCTATCATTCTTGATCCAAGTGTGCATTATTTAATAGAAGAATTATGTATTGAGGATGGGTTTTTAAAAAAGAAGAGGTAATTCTTTTTTTTTTTTTTTTTGCCAGTATGAACCATCTAGTATGAAATAAAACAATCTTTTTGTTCATTGTTTAAGTGTAAGGTAATGGAACATTGTATTACAGAAATAATGACACCAAGCAAATGAACATATTATTTTAAGTAAAGTTGAAATATTTTTTGCTATAACATTTAACTTAACATTATTTTTGTTCTTCATTTACTATTGACACACCATTGGAAACATAGTACACAGAACTTCCTAAACTCTCTCGTTCCATATGTAAGCAGTGGCTCTCTCTTACTGATTGTAATGCTGGATTCTTGGAACAATGTCCATTTGATAAGTGATCAAAACTTTTTTACTTAAAGAATATTTGTTATGGATTCTAATATCATGAACTACCATCAAAAAAGAAAAAAAGATAAGAAGAAAAAAATGATACAGAAGGTTTTAATATACCAAGATCTTGCAACGGTCATGTTGAATGGAATGATTGTAATGGAATTGGTCTTTGGTAGAGAAATCCTTTAGTCTCTCCAGTGTAGCATAATACTTTAAATGTCAATTATCATATATTTGACAAGTTTTAAACTTGTAGTCAGAAATAATTCAACATGCTAGAAATGTCATGTATATTATAATCTGAAATAGATTTCCATTAAAAATAGTATGGAAATATTTTGAAGCACATGGTGTTTTTTTTAAGATGGTGACAGTGGCTGCTTTGTAGATGGTGCTCTGAAATATACTTTGCAAGAGAGGTTTTTTAATGAATTTGGATTGTAGAGATTGGTATGTGGAAATGGAAGAGTGTGTTAAGGAAAAGGCAAGAAAGAAACAATCTTGATAAACTAACTGTGAGACTAGAATTGATTTGAAGAGACAGAGAGTTGAAGAGACTGATAGACCAAGAGCTGGTACAGTGGAATGGTCGGAAAGTGACAGTTGGAAGGTGAGACGGAGAGTCAGAGTAGAGGAGGCGGATGATTTTTATGATTGTGTGACTTCCCTGATCTCCCCCCTGGACTCCCCTGACTGAAGCTAAACCCTGTCTGAGAATCCAAGAGTCAGAAACTGCAGATCTGAATTGATGGTGTGGATCATCTGATGGAGGCAGAGCTGACAGAAGAGACAAGCTTCTCTGGCCTTTGTTGACAACTGGACCTACTCATGGTTAATAACACTGTGGAGAGTGGCAGGCTGCTGTTGGGATTTCCTGAGGTTAACTGATGAGTGGGAGCTTGGAACTGTAAACTTCATGACACACTGTAGGACTACAAAGCTGCTAAATTTCCAATGCAGCATAGCAAGCCTTTCTGGCTATTTTTTCTAGCTACCATTTACAGTTTTACTTCTGCATTCTTGTGGGTGTTCTGTGGTTGGGCCTGGGAGGGTTGCTTGGGGGATCCTGGGGCTGGGGAAAAGTTGAATGAGAGTATGTTGGTCCCTTTCCCCCAGGTGAGAGCTGGGGGGAAGAATGGCTTCCTGCTTGGTGGGTGAGAGCAATTGGGCAGGGTGCTGTTTATGCATCAAGTGGACGTATTCTGATTATATTAGGAGATAAGAGGAGCTGGATGTGACCCCTCTGCAGCAACAAGGGGTGATGTGAGTTTGAGGGCGCTGAGAGCAAATGCTATAGTGCCTGTAAAGCTCACCTTGCCCCCAACAATCTGTCAGTGGAAGTAGATTTTTTCTTTTTTTCCCCTTTTAAAGAAGAATGTTGGGGATGGGGGATGGAATGGTTCTCAGGGAAGGCAGAGGAGGGCATCCTATTTCAGTGGTGTCAAGTAACAGGAGATATAGGAGACAAGGGCAGGCATGGGGAACACGACCTTGATGTTTAGTACCAATCTCATGTTCTGCCCCATTGCACTCACCTCATCTTCCTGGTCAGCAGATCTGTGGTGGTTCTGGTCTTAAGACTTTTGCTTTTAAATGTGAGATCATCTTGCAAAAAGGCTAGCCTTATTGCTGATTTGATCCTTGAAGAGAAGGCTGATCTGGTTTGTATAACTGAAACTTGGGTGAACCCAGAGAGAGGTATTCCTCTTGCAGAAATGTGCCCAGTGGGTTATCGAGCATGGCACCAGTTTAGACCTCAGGGTCGGGGAGGAGGTGTGGCTGTTGTCATCAGAGAATCTCTAGTAGCCTCCAGAGGCACTGTTCAACAAGTCCCCGGTTGTGAGACCCTTTTTCTTAGATTGGGCTCAAGGGATCAGGTGGGATTGCTGCTGCTATACCAGCCTCCCTGCTGCATGGCAGCTTCCCTACCTGGGCTCCTGGACCTCACTGCAGGACTGGCAGTGGAAATCCCAAGGCTTATAGTTCTGGGGGATTTCAACCTGCCTTCTCTGGGGTCGGGGTTGGAGGTAGCCCGAGATTTTATAGAAACCATGACTTCTATGGGCCTGTCCCAGATTATCTAGAGCCCAACTAGTAATACTGGTCACACTCCCAATTTGGTGTTCTTGTCGGAGCAGTGTCTATGTGAC